GGCATCTTGGGACCTGCCACCTTCCCTGGACAATGTAAAGCCCAGCACCCAATCCCCACCGCCTGCAGAGGCCCAGCTTCACGCACAGCAAGGGCAGCAGAAAGAAGGACAGCCTGGAAGGGAGAAGCATGAATCCATCCACTTACAGGGTGTGTCCACAGCTAGGTGCAGGCAGCGATAACCATGGTACCAGGATTTCTACAATGAGGACCAGTTCAAGTTCCACTATGGGGTTCGAGGGCCTCCCCTGGGCAGCTGCAGTGCCCATAGGTGTGGCAGTGGACACCGATGGAGACATTTTCAAGGCAGTCTATGAAAACCATTGGGTCAGCATCTTTTCTGCTGAGGGCAAGTTCAAGACCAAGATTGGAGCTGGTTGCCTCACAGGCCCCAAGGGAGTAGCCATAGAAGTGAATGGACATATCATTGTGTTTGAGAAGTTGCTGCAGCTTTAACTTCTGGCCCAGTGGCAAGCTGGTTGGCCATTTGGGGGGCCATGAGGCCACTGACCAACACTTTGCAGGGCCCCATCTTGTGAACAAGAATGAGATTGTAGCAATAGATTTCCATAACCATTCCATGAAGGTGGACGGGGCTGGCAGAGTTCCTCTTCAGGTCTGGCTCCCACAGGAGGGCAACGGGCAGTTCAACGCCCCCACGGGAGTAGCTGTGGATTCCAGCAGCAGCATCCTTGTGGCTGACCAGGGCAGCGTGGCACCCAGGCGTTGCATGGCTCTGGGTCCCTCCTGTCCTCATATCAAGTCTGCAGAGCCATCGTAGCACCCATGGAGCCTGGCACTGACCTCCGATGCCCTCGTCGTGGTGGCGGCCTATGCTGGTGTCAACGAAAATAATCAATTAACAATCTATAATAGGAATAGAAGAGTTCTTTTGAGCCAAACTGAGGACTACAGCTTCAAGAGAGCATCTCAGATAACTCTGAGGAACTGCTCCAGAGAAGCATGGTTTTCAGCAGTTTTATATGTTGTCAGAACAAAGAACATTAAACAAGTCAGGGATACATTCCTTCAAGGTTAAAAAAAAGATCAGCACTACACAGCGAGTCAGTGTGACCTTGGCATCAGGGAAAGGAGTCTTATCATTGAAAGAGTATCAGCATTGGCATCCCGGGAAGGGAGACATCTAATCTTTACTTTTAACATGGACATTCTTTACTTTAGGCCAATGTACCCTTTTCTTAATAATTAAAGCGGATGAGGCCTATGCTACACCCGTAGCTGCATGGAGGCCCGGCCTAGCTCACGCAGGGATGTAACTAGGGGTGACTGGACAAGAGGCTCTGGCCAGAATCTGGCAACCCTGAACGTGGGTTGTGGGCATGGGTGCCCTGGTGCCTTCCTCTTCCCCATCTCCCAACCCCAGGGTTGCTCTTTATTTACTCGTTTCTCACTTTTACTTTTTTTTTTTTTTTTTTGCGGTACGCGGGGCCTCTCACTGTTGTGGCCTCTCCCGTTGCGGAGCACAGTCTCCGGACGCACAGGCTCAGCGGCCATGGCTCACGGGCCTAGCCGCTCCGCGGCATGTGGGATCTTCCCGGACCGGGGCACGAACCCGCATCCCCTGCATCGGCAGGCGGGCTCTCAACCACTGCGCCACCAGGGAAGCCCTCGTTTTTTGCTTTTAACTGGGTGGGCCTAGACTGTGGTCTCAATGATGTCTGCAAAGCTTCCCCCTAACCTTTTTACACACCTCCCCCGTCCCCTCAATCTGCTCCCCATTCCCCCAGCCTGGGGCGGAACAGCCTCGTACTCCAGGGCAAAAGGCCCTCTGATGGTCTGTTTGCCACCCTTCACACAAAGACAGCAATACCCCATCTCTCTTATGAAATGAGTTCACACAAAAAGCCAAATGTAGGACGACGTGTATTTTAAGAGCACATTTCACATTTAGAATTACCTCATCAAAAAATTTCTTTCCAGGGGCCTCTGCTAGGAATTTCCTGATAGTTTTCTATTACATATGTGTATTTATGACAACCTGTGGATTATTGCCTAAGTTCATTCTTAGGCAACCTCAATAGAGAAGCAAACCACAGATGGAGAAAAAAAAAAAAAGAAATCCAGAGCCTCATGGAAGAAAGAACTACTTCTTGGCTTCTGATTTCCAGAATTAGAACACTTTTAGGTTATTCCTTAATTATAACTGATGCCACTGTTTCGGGATCCCATCCACTGCTAGGGTCAAAGATTGCTGTTATACAGAAAGGGTAGTCTAACTCCCTTCCTTCATTTAAAATAAACCTTGAAGAAACATCTGGCAAGAATTGTGATGTTGAAAAGAAAAATATTTTTTTGGCTGACAGATCTAAACACACTTAGCTGTGAGATGATAAGGACCTATGGATCTTTTCCAACCACCATTTAAAAAAATATTTAAATGGAATATAATTCAGTTTATTTCAGGAGGATGAAAAGGATTCACTTCTGCTGGGATTCAAACCTATCATCCTTGAGAAGTCCACATGTATCTCACTAGATCATTAAGAGGACAAGTATCTTTAAAATAGATGAGCATTTTGTTTTCCCACAAATCAAAAACCCTGTGTCCACGTTTGGTGTCTTCATTATTTCTCGAAATGGATTTTGCTCAAATCAGATCTCAGCATCACTGAATGGTAAAGAAGAGTGTGCAGAAGCAACATGATAGGAGAAGGGCATTCACCTTCTACCAAAAATGTCCTGAATGGCTTAGCTGGTTAGCAGTATCACAAAGAGATGGCTGAGATCAAAGTTTTAATCTTCTTAGTGACCTGTTTACCCTGCTTAGCTCTATTCTATCCTGGCCACAAATTCACCTCTCAAATTTCTGTTTCTAAATAAAGAAGGACCAGGAAACAAGGCATTAGCAAAACCAGCACCAAAGACAGGAAAACACAACAGGAACTGCTGTCAGTGGAAAAGGAGCCCTTCCATCAACACAGAACTTGCAGGCATTTCATTTCGTCTTTTCATTCATTCTTTCTGTGTGGCAGGTGCTGGTATCCCAGAAAGAAACCAGGCATATAGCCTCTACCCAGAAGGAACTCAGTTTATAAAGAACGAGAGAGATTACAGTGCAAGTCCAGTAACTGAGGTGTGAACAGGGAGGCACTAATCCCAGCCTGGGTAGGCTCTCCAGTGGTGGCACAAGCCGAAGGACAGAGTGACTATCATTTTGAACAGCTGTAGCAGACATTAGTCCAATATAGTAGCTACTTAATGAAATTTAAAATACCAACAGGAGCCACTTAATATATTATTCTTGAGTTTTAAAAAAATGGGAGGACTGAGCAACAGGCATTTGGGAATCTCTAATGTATGTATTAATGAGATGGCATCAATTCTTTTACCCCACTGCTCGTTTTTGTGGTCGAAGATAAACAACAGATCCCTGGCCCTTTGAATGAATTGGAATAAGAACAGGTTTAGAATTTTATTTTAAGTCTCAGGACAGAACGTTTCCCTGTAAGACATACAGGAGATGTGGTTTAAATGAACCAAGTGTACTCTCCAAGTTTCAAATCATGGATTTATACAAGTGAAAACAGTGTGACAGAAAGCTCTTCTTAGGAAACACCACAGTTCTTCCATCACTGATGAAGTCATGGGCCCCATTAAAAGATAAGTTAATCATTTAAAGTGAGTATGTTATGCTATCTGAGGTTCCTTCTAAAACCCCTCTCCAAATGTAAGCTGGACCAGTAAAATGAAGCTTTATAAGTTAGCAAGACACCACCCCCATCTTGTGTTCAACAGTCTTCATTACACCCACGTTATTGCCAAAGATGACACTTGCGATTCAACAGTTACAGAATATAGCTTTATTTATAGAATCTTACAAATAAAAACATTTACAGTCCACATAACTTAAATTAGTTTTTTCTAATTTATCCTCGTAACACCTGAGTTATTTAAAAAAATACTGTGATGGAACTGCAGAACTGTAAAAGGAAATATGAATAATAAAAATCTAACCTCTCTCTTTTGCAAAAATCAGACAACTTTTCGTTTTTGTTTTTGTTTTTTTTTGCGGTACGCAGGCCTCTCACTGTTGTGGCCTCTCCCGTTGCGGAGCACAGGCTCCGGACGCGCCGGCTCAGCGGCCATGGCTCACGGGCCCAGCCGCTCCGCGGCACGCGGGATCCTCCCGGTCCGGGGCACGAACCGGCGCCCCCTGCATCGGCAGGCGGACTCTCAACCACTGCACCACCAGGGAAGCCCAACTTTTCGTTTTTTAAGCAGATTTCCAACATATTACCATATTACCATCTCCACATTACCACGTGGAAGAGGACTTACTAAAAACAGGTCTTAGGATACTCGAACAGAGAAGCCTTCTTTTTAAAACCCAGGGTGAAGGACCAATGAAGGAAAGACCTAAGTTGACACTAGACACAAAAAACCTTTGGGCAAGGACAGAAGGCAACCTGCAAGCCAGGGTGAGGGTGAGAAGCAGCAGAACCCCTGCTCCTGGGTCACTGCTCCTTCACGTGACACATACTTTCCTTGTTATCCTTAATGGGAGCCGGTCCACGCAGGGAAAGCGAGGGTGAAGATGCTAATGCCAGAGGTGAAAAAGGTCCTCAGAACTCGATACTCCTCAGACTTCTAATATGTACAAATGCTTAAAACAGCAAATCCAACACTTCAAAAAGAAATGGCCACATTTTCAATTGAGGAAAATCTGTTGCCAATGGCAACACACAATCAGTTGCACGATTTCAGTGTCTCCACCCCTGAGCTCAAACTAGGACTGGCCTCCGGACCAATTAGTTTGAAGGGAATTTCCCTTTGAGGCAGCTGTCTGTGAAAGGAAAGTTAGTTCTTAATACAGGTGTGCATGAGAAGGGAAGGCACCCTGCTACTTCGTATTTCAGTTTTTAATTTGCTCAAGGTTACATTTTTGAGCTCTTCTCCTAAAACTAGAAACCCACTAATTCTTACTTAGGATTCTACTCCAAGAATAACAGTATTTGTAAGGAATGACAGATCTACAGGGGATGCTAAAATTATAAATTTAATACATCCATGTGAATTAAGGGAAGCAAAATCTTCTGAAATCCTAAGGTTTGAGTTATTTCCTGCTAGCTCCTGAAAGCAGTTTGAGGGAAATCAAACAGAAAAGACAAAGAATCCTTTTAAAACAGTAACAATGACAATAATAATGACAATATAAAAAGTTAGATCCCAACATTCAAGGAATTGGTTCTTTGGTAAAAACTGGACCATAATCCTACCAGGAGTCTGTCCTGATAGTTCATCTAGAATCGTGAGAACTGAGTTTTCCTCCTTCTTCTGCCCATTCTCAAATCTATCAAAGTCAATAGGCAAGATGAGAAAAACTTATAAAGCATCACCAGCGGTTTTCCCACTCATGTTCTTCTCAAGAATAGTCCTGGTTTGACGGATGTTTCCCAAGGGGTGGGGGGAGGCGGGGAGGGGAAAAAAGCCATAGTAGATGCTGCTTTTAACTACCATAGAATGGAAAGTTTTCCTGTCAGAACGGAAAAACTAACGGGTGGTGGTGACGGACCAGGACTCGTCAGCCACATGCACAAGTCGGTTTGCGAACACAGCCCCTGGGCTGCGACTGTGGGCACCACTGAGGAAGGCTTCTGGAGAGGTCGGCTCCCCAGAGTGGCTAAAGAATCTCACATTATCAATATGATAATAATAAAGCAATTCACCTAGTGAACCTGGAGATTAGCTCCCCGTGAAGCCAGAGCTCTGAGGAGAGGGCTCCACAGGGCCGGTGGCTGGCCTACGGTCTCACACACAAGTCTATCAATCCGTTTTTCTGAAGAGAGTTAGAACAATTCCTGTTCAGTTCAATACAGGATTCGCCCTTGCTTGTTTGGGGTCAGGGAGAAAGGGGGAACCCCAGACGGTGCAGCAGAACCCATGGGTCCTCTATTCTGCAAACCCCAGGGATGCCCCCATCCAAGCTCTGGATCTTCCATCTCAGAGTTCTATCACTGTTACTTATGGAATCAGTAAACCCTAAATGTTGCCTGCACTGATTCCGTTTCTGATTACCCTTGTCAAGAAGACCACAAGCTGCACTCCAATTCTGTAAGTCGGCTTGCCACCTGTCAGCACAACTGTTGACCAGGGAGGTAAATCTGTGCAGTCTGCCCTCTGACACGGGCACCGTCAATGTGCTTAGAATGTGCTTCCAGGGAGTCTCCCAGGGGATGGGGGTGGGAATCACAGCAAAGCCAACGGACTTCAGACAGGTCTCTCTTCTCTGCCCTCCAATCTGCCAGTGTTCATCCAAAAGGAGGGGAGGTTCAGGCAACAGAACCTACCTGCTGGCTCACCTGGACGGCCACGAAACACCAGGTGCAGAACCGGTGCCAAGCATCCCAGTGGGAACAGGTAACCATCCTGACAAGACACACCCCCCCATCTCAGGGTGATCCTTGCCTCTCCCTCCCGCCCTTCTCATCTGTTTCCAGCTTTTAGTTCTCTTTGAAAGAATAGGCAACTGAACAGATTTTGAAAAAATAAGAGGGATTCCTGTCTTCTATACCTTTTCTGTAAAAATAGGCGGATTCGCTTAAAAATGGGTCACCTTGAGGCCGAGGAAACACATTTAGATTTATGGGCCCCAAACTATAGATTGACGTCCTGATATTTCTAACCAAGTTGTGAGCCCTGGCTATCTTTTTGCATTGTTGGGCAAAGGATTCAAAAGGTCTCAGTGCTGGTTGGAAGAGAAAGAGGCCAGGGCAACCAGAGAAAAAAGTTAGTCTTGTCTTTTAAGCTGCATTCAGTTCCAGAATCACTCTGAGAAAGAAGAGGAAAGGGGGAGAGGCACTACCTAGAGGCTGGTTACCAGGGCAGCTTATTCCTAGGATACAGCATTTTAAAAACAGCTAACATTTGAATGCAGGAATACAGTCTCCATGTCACAGTTTTTAATAGAACTGCCTCTTCCGAGGTGCTTCCTGGATGAGGAGTCCTCGGGCCAGGGATCAGCGGCCAAGGGCCCGACTGCCAATCCCGCCGGCTCCTGGCAGGGCCCTACCCGATCTGGATCTGTCCCGAATACATAGTGAGGACCAGCATGATACTGAAACCAGTCAAGAGGCCCAGGTTCTGGATGACAAAGGGGACCAAGACACTGCCGTTCCTTTCATCCTCTTGGCAGACCTCGTTCATCTCAGGGAACTGGGGAAGAAGAAAAAAAGCACGAGAGCTGCAGTTCCTTTCTTAACCTTTAAGTGCAGGACAGTTCAGTCATATGTATATTACCTAACAATTATTACAACACTTACTATTATTATATTTTTGCATTATAAGGCCACCACAATCATTAGTATAAATATATGATTATAATAGTTATAATTAAGATATATAATATACGATTGGTTTACAAAGAAAATCAACAGCAGTAACTTCTAGAACTTAAACGTTAGAGCCTTTCTCCAAGGTGGTTACCACTACTTTACAGCTATGGAAGTGAAACAAAGTACGACACATGCATGTAACCCTGGATGTGTTTAGATGCGGACTAAAAAGAAGCACTTTGCTAAAAATTACTGTGATCTTTAAAAACACATCAAAAGGTCTTTTTGCTATCAGAATGTTGTCACTTGTTTGGGAAACTCAGCAACCACGTAAGGGGCCAGAGAACGGAACTAAGCATTGCCGTGACTCAAGGCCTCTTGCTGCTGGCCGGCAAGGCAGGCGACAAAAATACCCTAACCCCAGGGAGGGCCACCCACCGGAGGAGAGAATCTAAGATGTTTCCATGGGCTGAGGATGGACCATGGTGGTCAGTGCTCTCATTATCTCATCAAAAATACTACTTTCCGGGACTGCTCTGCTGGCGCAGTGGTTAAGACTCCGTGCTCCCAATGCAGGGGGCCCAGGTTCGTTCCCTGGTCAGGGAACTAGATCCCACATGTCACAACTAAGGAGCCCGCCTGCTGCAACTAAGACCCAGCATGACCAAATAAGTATTAAACAAAAACAAAAGACTGCTTTCCGAGGATATGGAAAATAATTCATGCAAACCTGCCAAAGAACCGTCATGCCAACAAGGAAGGAAATCAACCTTGTTAGTTATAAAGATGCAACAAATCAGGTATTAAACTAGCAAACGCAAAACTACTTAAACGGTTATACCAAACGTTACCAGGTACGATGTACACTTTCAGACACTGCTAATGATGTAAATTAAAGAAGGGTAAGCTTTTTAGAAAGCAATTTGGCGATACATATTAAAACCTCAAACCACGCATCCCTTCTGAACCAGCAATTCTTGTTCTGGAGAAGGTAAATCCCCTCACCAAATACTACTGCTAATGAGAAAAGGATGCTTTTAAAGAGTATGCAACATGAAAAATGTCTAGGATGTATTAAGTAAAAAAAAAAAAAAAAAAGCAGGATATAAAATTGTGTACTCCATGTGATTAGAGTTATTTAAAAACAAACACAATGCACTGAGATGAAAAAGAAACAAACCCAAGTGTTGTTATTTTGGGGGAGAATAATTATGGGTAATTTCCTCTCCCTTCCTTCCCTCCCTTCCCCATTCTTTATCTATAAGTCTCTATTCTGTAATACTTAAAGTAAGGACCCCGGAGTTGAGATACATCATTTTCTTTAATGACATATGCTAAAGGAACATAGGCCTTTCATCCTTTAAAATCTAATGTCCCCTTAAAAGGCATTGAACAGTACACTTTTATTTACAAATCGTGTGGCATGTGACTTGATTCCTCAATAAAGTTATTATTGGTGGCGCAGCGGTTAAGAATCTGCCTGCCAATGCAGCGGACACAGGTTCGATCCCTGGTCCGGGAAGATCCACATGCCACGGAGCAACTAAGCCCACGTGCCACAACCTCTGAGCCTGAGCTCTAGAGCCCACGAGCCACAACTACTGAGCCCACACACTCTAGGGCCCGCGTGCCTAGAGCCCGTGCTCCACAAGAGAAGCCACTGCAACGACAAGCCCGCGCACTGCAACAAAGAGTGGCCCCCACTCGCCGCAGCTAGAGAAAGCCCGCGCACAGCAACGAAGACCCAATGCAGCCAAAAATAAATAAATAAATAAATAAAATTTAAAAACAAAAAAAGTAACTAATGCCCCTTAGCTGTCCTCCCAATCCAACGAATTTCATAACCCGATCCAGTTTTGCCTACAAGGCATTAAAACTATGGAAGACTTACCATATCAGCCAGAGAAATATACAAGAACATTCCTCCAGCCAGGGCAAAGATCCAGTTGGCAGAGAAGTGGCTGCCAGCTAAGATGCCGAAGGCCAGGCCCACGTAACAGCAGCAGGCAGAGAGGAAGTTGAAGAAGAGAGCCTGCTGGATACTCATGCCGGCATTGAGCAGGATGACAAAGTCTCCTATGGTGGGGACAACAAGAGGGGAGGGTGTGGACAGAAGATTCATACTAGGTCGTGGGACACACAGCTTGATGAGGACATGCTTAAACGCTGGATGGAGTGTGGGTGAAAATCAAGATGGCCCCAGACTGGAGATCACGGTGACAAGACTAGGGCCCCCTTCACCACCACGCCGAGGAGCTGTCTCCATCTGTGAGGCTGGGAGTGTACAACCAGCCTAGAGGCTGAAAACAATGCACAGGATTTTCAAAAGAGAAAACCATCTAGCAATGGCTTCATTTCTCTCTTTTTTTTCTTTTTTTTTGTTTTTGCAGTCCGCGGGCCTCTCACTGTTGTGACCTCTCCCGTTGCGGAGCACAGGCTCCGGATGCGCAGGCTCAGCGTCCATGGCTCACAGGCCCAGCTGCTCCGTGGCATGTGGGATCTTCCCGGACCGGGGCACGAACCCGTGTCCCCTGCATCGGCAGGCGGACTCTCAACCACTGCGCCACCGGGGAAGCCCTCATTTCTCTTTTGATTGATGGTGAAACAGAAGGAGCTTCCTTCCGCAAAACTGCAATGAATGGTATTTTTCGAAAACAAAATTGAGACTGAGAGAAATAGTAACTTGCCCAGTCACAAGCCAATAAATGGCAAAGCCAGGACATGGCCTTGAGTGTCTGAGCCTTCAAAAAGTCTAGGCTTTTTACACTCTCCCTCTGATAAAACCAAGGACCTTCCAGCCCCTGGTTCATCTATTTCTTCTACCCACCAGACTCCTAACATATATCTCAGCCTTTGGAAGATTAATAGGATGTAAGAGATAACCTATATTGAGCACTTAGAATAGCGTATGGCACGCAGTAAGTCCTTTTCACTATTTTTTCCTTTTGCTTTTTACGATGAATCAATGAGGTAGGTACCAGTATTAAGCCCAGTGTAGAGGTGAGGAAACAGCCACAGGTTATGGGACTATGGGGAAACAACCATCCCAGTAAAAAATGCCATCATTTCCAATGTTCAATCTTCTTTCTTTCTTTCTTCCTTCCTTCCTCCCTCCCTCCCTCTCTCTCTCTCTCTCTCTCTCTTTCTTTCGCCATGCTGTGCAGCATGCGGGATCTTAGCTCCCTAACCAGGGATCGAACCCGTGCCCCCTGCAGTGGAAGCGTGGAATCTTAACCATTAGAAAGCCAGGGAAGTCCCGTCCAATGATCAATTTTCAATTATTAACTCAGCTGTTGAGAATTAGTAGTTTGATTTCACATAGCATAGAAAATGTGTTAATTAATCACAATGTGTGTTCTGAAGTGGGGGGAGGAGTCGGCACAAGCGGAAGGGGCTGGGGGGCGGGGTGTGAGCACACTTACCTAGCTCGTGTGGGAACTCCTCGCAGAGGATGGCCACCGAGGTGCTGATGCCTTGGAAGACAGACACGGTGAAGGAGGCACCAATAGCCAGGCCATCGATGAAATTATGGAGGCCGTCGCTCAGGGTGATCATCCAGGCCAGTGTGCCGATGTCAGAGTAGTGGACACCTTTCAGCCAGTAGCAGGCGCTCTGGGAAGCCTGCAGGTCCTGCAAGAAAGCCCCCCTGTCAAAGGGTGGACGACGGACCTTCAAGGTAGGCCCGAGTCATCAAGGCCATTACCACTTAAGGGCCCCTGCCCTGCCCAGCAGTGGATGGCCCACTGACCTGGACAGAGAGGGAGCCCACGATGACCTTCTCGTCCATCACAGGGGCCTTCCCATCCAGCTCGCCACTGCAGCGCTGAGAAATCATGTGGTCCAGATCCCCGTTCTGCAGCTTCTCTGTCACCCCCTCCTCCTGGTCCTTCTGGGAAGGGAGCGTCTCAGAGGCATAATGGCTGTGTCCGTGATGATGCTGGAGGGACCACAGGGAGGGGTCGGGTCAGTGCAACACTCACCAAAACCACCCACCCGGCAGGAGCTCCAATCACCGGGAAGACCTCACTCCCACCATCCAAGAAAACACAAGCAGGCAATAGGATAGAAACCTAGGGCAAGGTGTTGGAGAAAGCTGAATCGAAGGGCATGTGGTACTGCCATGGGACGGATCTCAGAGGAGTGACCTCAGGGCCAACACTCATCCCTGCCAGGAGGCACAGCAAAGAACATTTACAGCTGCTCCTCGCAATGCCTAATGATTCGCCCTCACCCACTGCTAATACCCTCCTGAGGTGAAGTGAGATATCTACTCATGAAATAGTTTGTGGGTTTGAATCCATGGCGGGAGGATCCAGGTAAGCTCACTGGATTGGCACTGAGGTAACACCACTACCGGACACAGTTCTGAGATGGATGCTCTCCCTAGAGGCGCTTCTTTTACCAACGATTAGGCCTCACCTCATTTTTCTGCTTAAGAAGCATCTTCAAGACCTTCTCTGTGAAAAAGAAGAGATAAAAGCCCCCAAACACCACTGCAGACTTGGAGACATAATAATCTTCCAGAGGGTTGAAACCAAAAGCCTGTGGATCCAAGAAAACAAAATGAGTTTAAGAATATAGAAAATCTTCACTGGTCCCCTCTCATCTCTTTAACCACTTGACTCTAGGAAAAGAAGAGACCGGGACAACTCTGCCATGTACTCAATCCCTTTCCAGCAAAAATCTAACCCTTGATGTTTCCCTAATGTCACATCACCAGACCCGCTGGGTTCTCTCTAGCTTATTTTCTGATGCAAAAGACAGATCGTCTTTAGAATTTTACTCTCAGGAAGAACAGCCTTGGATGTGGCTTTCTCCTTTTAATGAGGACTCTGTCTTCACTTCTCCTGGAGCTTTGCTACAAGGACAGACTCTGCCGGCAGATTCCATCTTTAAGGAGGAGACACTCGTGTTTGTTTTCATCGTTATATAGCGTTCCTGGCTGATCTGCCTGTAAACACACAGGGAGATGGTACAGTTATACTTTCTAAAATGGGAAATCCTTTCTCCAGTTAAATAGTAAGAATTGCGGCATCTTCCTGACCGCAGACCTCCCAGTGACCACAAAGCCAAGAAAGCAGACTGTGTGACTGCACGTGTCAATTTTGGGGGTTTTGTCTTGGTTTCTGGAAACTTCACTTATTATGGCCAAAAGAAAGAAGGAAAAAAAAAAAGAATCTATTGGGAAGCAGATAGGAGTAGAAATCAGGAGAATTCCATTCTCAGTTATGCTCCTGACTTGTGCGGGGGGGCCTTGGGAAAGTGTCTGCTGACCTGCTCCTAAGTTTTCTGATAGGAAATGGGCCTCTCGAATAAACACCAGCCTTCTCGTGAATAGGTCCCAGATAAAACACCAGCCTTCTCGTGAATAGGTCCCAGATAAAAGACCACCAGTACCAGGAACTCCGGGCTGCTTAAAAGCTAAGTGTTTGTCTTTTCTATTTTAAAGGGACGAAATGCAATCTCTTAGTGTAGTTTTCTAAAAGACATTAAAGGTCAAGTTCTAGAATAGAAATTACTCATTCCGGCCAACTTTCCAGGAGAGTCCAATCATCTTACGGAAAAGTGGGGTGGAAAGAGGCAACTAACAGTTCTCCACAAAAAGCACTAAGATACGAGCTCTTGTGCAGGTCAGATTCTGTATCTGTTAAATGGGTACAACATTCCTTGTTTCCTACACATCGTGATCTAAGGATCAACTCAGAAAACACAAAACCGCATCTTGGAAAACAAAGTGCTCTAAGGAGCCCGGGGCGTCATCTTTCTGCTTCACCTCTGGCTCATCCAGGCCCGTCAGACTACCCACAGTGTAGCGCCTCAGGATTCCTGCCGTCAGCAGGTCTACGCAGAGACCACACGGGATGAGAAACTCCTCCAAGGCCCTGCTAAGCCTTACAGACACTGGGCTCCTCCTCTCTCATGAAGGGTTTCCTGGTTAGCCCAGGCGAAGGGGCAAAGGTGCCATCAACATGTGTGAGGCCAGACTGGTGGGTTCTCTCCAGCTTATTTTCTTTCTTTTCTTCTTCTTCTTTTTTTTTATTTTGCCAACAGCAAAACTTTACTGTGCACCTATTATATAAAGGCCCTTCCATGGATTAGGAGCTCATCATTTAATCCTCATACCTCTCTAGCTTATTTTCTGATGCAAAAGACAGGTTGTCTGGCTTCCCTGGTGGCGCGGTGGTTGAGAGTCCGCCTGCCGATGCAGGGGACACGGGTTTGTGCCCCGGTCCGGGAAGATCCCATATGCCGCGGAGCGGCTGGGCCCGTGAGCCATGGCCGCTGAGCCTGTGCCTCCGGAGCCTGTGCTCCGCAACGGGAGAGGCCACAACAGTGAGAGGCCCACGTACCAAAAAAAAAAAAAAAAAAAAAAAAAGACAGGTTGTCTTTAGAATTTAATGTCCTACTGAGGAGAAGTGAGCTTTTCACTGAGACCTACGGATTCTGTTTTTGGTGCCAAGAGCTCCAAATTGGGAGCCATAACGTGACCTAACTACACTACCTCTGTTCACCCAACAGATAGCGAGCACCAGGTGTTTAGGAAACATTAACTCACGTGACCCTCACGGCATCACCCTGAGGTCCGCCCTTTTTATTCTTCCCGTTTTACGTTATGAGGAAACGGAAGGACAGAGAGGTCAGGTGACTTGCCCAAGGGCACAGAACTTGTGGCCGGTGGAGCTGGGATTTGAACCAGCTCTCAAAGCCTTCTCTAAGCTGCCTCTCCTCGCTCGTGCCTACATCCTAGCTTCACTTTCCAAAAGGAGAGGACCTCCTCTCTAGGCCTTCTGTGGAGATGGAGGGCCCGCCCACTGTGTCCCGCCATCCCCCAGGAGGCGGCGTGCTCCTGTGCAAGGGCCCTGGCTTGCCATACCTCGGGGATGAGCTGGAAGAGGGCGTTGGAGAAGAGGGTTCCAATCGCCAGAGCTATGAAGTAGAGCAGCAGCCTCTTGTAAAAAGTCTTCTTCATGAAGGGCACCACGCTGGCCCCCATCAGGGAGCAGAGGGAGATGACGGTCACACAGAGGAGACCGTACCCCCAGACTGCCGGGGAGGGGGAGCCAGCCCCACCCAGGACAGGGACAAGGGCGAACGCCCCACGGCACGGCAGCCACCATTCAGGGAGAGAGGTGGAGAGGGCGGGAGGTGGAGTGGGAGGGGGTTTTGGTGGATATTAACAAAGGAGGCAAAACAAGAAAAATCAGAGAGACAAGCAGGGAGGGAGAGAGAAACAGAACATTTGTTAGTGATTCAAGTCCAATGAAATTTCCTTCAATCGGCTCAGGAGAAACGGGGAGGAACTCGCGGTGGCCTTGGAACCCCGCGTCTCTCGCCCCTGCTGCCTGGTGGCTGCTGAGTCCCACCTGCTAGCTGCTGTGCCTGGCAGGGCAGGCCCTGCCTTGGCCTGTAGCCGAGGTGTGCTCAGGCCTAGCCAGGGGCTGCCCAGCAGACTTTGGACTCGAGAGCTCTAGGGAACAGGAAACCAGAGCAAGAGGAAGAGACCGACAGATCGTTGGACTGCCGTGTTGGCACGTCTGACCCTCGCTATGCAGGCACATGGGACACTCCCCACACCTGGTCTGCTCTGTGCAGGGCAGAAGGGACGGACAAGTAAGGCCCGACGGCCACAAAATCCATTCTCTTAACATCTCAGGTTTTGTTTTTTTCCTATGACCTTGTTTTGTTTTTTGTTTTTGTTTTCGGTTACGCCCCGAAACTTGCAGGATCTCAGTTCCCCGACCAGGGACTGAACCTGGGCCATGGCACAGGAAACCCGGAATCCTAACCACTAGGCCACCAGGGAACTCCCTCAGGTATTGCTTTGTTTGTTTGTTTCCATTTGCTTTGAGAGGGCTGCAGTGTAGAGAACAGAGTTCCAAGATCACCCCGTCAAAAAATATTTCCTCTACCATTTCCCAGTGTCACACACTCCGGGCAGGACAAAAGTGAGCCAGGATGAGGCCTCCCCTGTGAGCCCAGGGGCGGAGTATGTACCATTATTGTATTCCCATTCAACAGGCAACACAGCATTTCATTTCCAATCTTGAAAAAAAATTAATAAATTTAATTTCTGGAGCCGAAAAAAAAGTAGCCCAAGATGAGGCCTGCCCTGAGAAGTGCTTGCTAGATTCATGTGGAATTCTGACATACCATCGAGATGGTTCACCTTAAACCAGATTTCTCTCCTCATCATGAAGAGGGAACAGGCAAGGCAAGGATGGGCATCCCGTAGAGTCTTTTGATTGGAAAGGCCAGGCAGCTGCCTATGGAAGGCGGCCATCAGCATTCCCAAAGAAGGTCCACACATCACCCATCGCCCCACTGCACGTCCCTGCCTGAGATGACAGGTGGGCAGACTGTCACCTTGGGTCTTATTTTTTTTAGCTCCTCAGCGGTTACAATTAAAGGACAAAATCAACAAACATTTCAGAACAGTCAAGTAAGGGTGCCAGGAAGTCAGTCCTATCAGGAAAAAGTCAAGATGCAAGGTGTGAAGGACGGTGGGTCCCTTTCCTTTATTTGGTAATTTTGATTTCGCTTTTTTCATTAAATAGTCTTGATTCTATGTTTGGCCCTCTATACTGTGGATTAGGGCCTGCTTAAAAAAAAAAGGATCACGTACTTTTTAGGTCAATACAACTTTTCAGTCTGTAACCTCTTTCCTTCCACCTCATTCCAGGTGGATCATCTCTTAGTGGCCACACCTGAGTACGGCCAGGTCCTCTACTTAGAACAGAGGGGGTCTGGAGGACCAAGGGCAGGGACAGCCACCACCGGCTGCTTTCCTTTCCAGCCCTGCCGACAGGGCTTAGGAAAGGCACTGACTGGGGAAGGAGGCTGATAGGTCCCCAGCATGGGGGACAAGTGCTGAGAGCCTTGCATCTGACATCCCCTGAAGAGGCCAGAGGCAAACCTGGGTGCCCCAGGAGTGAGAGGAGGCCCTTGAGATCCAGAGGCAGAAGTCATTTGCATCCCTTGACATGAGGAAGAAGTTAATGTTTCAGGTGGCGGCTATCAGGTGCCTTGGAGCACAGGGTCGGGGCGGGGACGCCCCAGGGAGACAGGACGCGCACGTTTCTTTTCTACTGCACCTCTGGGATGAGCTGGAAGAGCGCGTTAGAGAGCAGCGTTCCAATGGACAGGGCGATGAAGTAAGTGAGCACACGGCTGAAAAACGCTTTCTCCGTGCACGGCAGGACGAGGACTCCCAGGAGAGAGGCCAGGTTAATCAGTGAGACACTGAGGAAACCAAAGCCCCACACTGTGGAGGAACAAGAACAGACGAGGGCCTCCATTACTGAGGGTGGAGGTACTCTTGCTGCCGGGGGGCAGCCCGTTCTGAACTCAGCGGCAATCGGGGCAGACAGAGATCTGCCAACCCATCAGTAAATGCTTGTTGAGTCCACCTCTTGCTGGGTGCTGTGGAGAAGCCTAAAAATATACACCAAAGCTGCTATCCGAAAGCAGCTTACCTTTCAGATGGAGGGGCAGATGAAAGGCTATAGACCACAGGAGTTAAATAACGACAGCAGGAAACGACGTGGGGTGTGACACAGGTGGCACATGCTAGGTACCAAGTGCCAGGCTGCTCACACCAGCACGACAGGATTGCAGAAGGTCGATCCAGGCCCAAGGGAGCCGTGTGCACACACAGGCCACGGTGAACCACTGCGGCTGGAGCAGGGGTACCAGGCAGGGGAGGGGGAGGAGGATGAAGTGGGTGAAGTGGGCCGAGGGCAGACTGTGAAAGGCCTTAAATGCTAAACTCAAAAATCAAGGTGTTGGCCCCCTGGTAGTTTAATGAAAACCAAAACGGAAAAGTGACCAAAAAGAGCACCTCGAGGCTGGTCCAAAAGCCCCACGACGGAACGCTCACCAGCCACGCTGCCCGGCCTGGCAATGTGCTGGACCAGTCTTGGGAGTACACGAGATACCAGTATAGTCACTACTCCCGCCCTTATCATCGCCCCTCCCGACGATGATAAGAGGATGATAACCGGTCAAACATTCAGCGGGCAGCTCTATCTGATCAGCCCAGCGGTCCTCATGCAGACAAGCACGGACACCAGGCCCTGCCTTCCCGTGCTGGCTCACCTTCAACTGAGCTGGGCCTCCCCTCTTCTGTCTGCTCGTTCTCCTCATTCTCCTGGTTCTCGGAGGAGCAGGCCCGGGAATCCAGCTGCTGGAGGATGGTGGGGCAGAACTCCTGGAACTCACGCCCCCCAATCCGCAACTGGTCGCTGAGGTTGTGGGCAGCAAAGAGGTCTCCAGAACTGAAGCACTGAAACCAAGTGGGAGGGGCAGAAAGCCTCTTAGGACCCAAAGTCACACCTTGCCCCTGATGAGACTTCCAAGACGGAAAATAGAAGATGCAACTGTTCAAATTTCACGGAACCTGCAGACTAATGTCCAAGGATGAGAGCAAAGTCGTCCCTAAACTTGAAAGACTGATAAGTAATCTTAGAGATCAGCCGCCCATACATACCTTCCACTCACCCATCTGTAAATGGCTACCTAGAAGTTCTGGGAACAACCGAATTCCAATCATTATGACCAGGGTGTGGCTTCTGGGAAACATGCCTCTATGTGCATACCTGAAGATACAGCTTCTCCCAGATACCAAATCTGGCCACATTACAACAGCCCAGGGAGCTATGACAGTAAAATGCAGATTTCACATACTTCTCCAGAGCTACTGAGCACAGGTGTCTAAGAGGAACAGTAGTCTCCTGGACCATATACAGTAATGTCCCCAGACTGCAGGATGTGTTGGCAGAGATTGGGAAAGGAAGCGGGGGGGGAAATCTGAAGACTCAGGGTCTGCCATGGAGCAAGTGTGGGCTGCCCAGTGGGCATGAGCTCTGAGTTCCCTTGGGAAGCATCAGGTTAAGTGGTTCTCACACACCGTTCCCATGAAACACTGCCATTCTACTTCTAATTAAACAGTTACACGTCAGTCTTTCGCTGAGTTTGGTTTTACGTGGCTCTGTCTCCGAGGGAAACAGCCCTCTGGGAGTGCCGACGAGTGAGGGTTTCTGGGCCTGGTACTTCCATGGGGTCCAGTGGTTAAGACTTCGCTTTCCAATGCAGGGGGTGCGGGTTCAATCCCTGGTCAGGGAGGCTGGGATCCCACATGCCTCGCGGCCAGAAAACCAAAAAACAAAACTGAAGCAATACTGTTAACAAATTCAATAAAGACTTTAAAAATGGTCCACATCAAAAAAATCTTAAAAAAATGCTGGGGGCTGGACTCAGTGACCCCAAGATCCTGCTGCTGAGCCGGAAGGCCTCTGGGGTCAGGCTGCATGAGCCCCCCCAAGGCAGCCACCCCTCCGACTCAGACGTGCACGCCCCTGTGGTTCTGCATACACGCCACATGGCTCCCCCAGCCTAGCGACTCGGTCTCTCCAAACTCCACTCTCCTTCAAGGCGAAGCTCCAGGACACCCCACACAGAAGCTTCCTTGACCATCTAGTGCACACTCACCCTCACGCTTCTCTCATTTCTGAATCCTATAATGACTATCCAAGCCACAGCATCTAGCACTTCATTTGAATATCAGTTAACTCTGTTCTTGGTTGGCTGAGCTCCCCATCTTAACAGTAAACTCCCTAAACATGACTCATTTTCCTCTATTTCTCACCACACTCAGCACAGGGAACAAAGTAGATGTGCAAAGACGTTGCTGGCTGACTTATATTTGGCTGCCACACACAGCCTCAGACTCTGATTAGCCAAGAAGGTATGGAAGACAGAACAGAGAACCAGGAGCCAAAAGACCTGAGTCTTAATCCTGGTCCCTCCAGAACTCACTGTGGGTCCCTTAGTATCTCAGTATATACAGGATATAATGAAGATCTGCCACCTGCACGTAGAGGTACTTTGAGGCTCACCTAGGATAACGGGCAAAGGGCTTTGCAGAAACTCTATAAGAAATATTAGCTGACCCGGGAGCTCCAGCTTACCAGCAGTTCCAGGAGATCCCAGTGCGGCTCTGAGGAAGGGTCTGGAGGGCTGAGAGCCCCTACTTCATGGCTGCCCTTTGCTAAGGGCTTCAAAACACCCATGTAGGAGGTTGGGAGGCGCTGCTGGAGACTCAGACTAGCTGATCCCGGCCGCAGGGGAAGAAGTGGCCCCTCTGCTCTGTCATCAAGGCTCGCCTGCCCCCAACTAGATTGGGAACCTTGAAAGAACAGAGACGGTGCTGGGCAGAGCCAGGGAGCCTTACCGTCGAGAGGTTCCTCGGTCCCTGCACGGACTGGGAGACGTTGTCCCGGCCCACTCCCACGTCCAGGTGGTTAAGCAGGGCCTTCAGCTGCTGCAGGGTGAGGCTGTCGCCCTCCCCGTAGCGATGCATGAGGTTCTGCAAGAAAGAGGCTGCGCTGATGGCGGGTGTCCCCACGGACACAGCATGAGCCTCAGGACCAGCTGTCCACACGGCGAGCAGAGCCAGCAGGAGGCAGCTGGGGAGGGCTGGGTGCAGCAGCTTCATGGTGACAGGTGAGGCTGCAAGAGGAGAAGGCCAGGTGAGGGCAAGGCTTAGGACACCCATCCTCTCCTTCCACACCAGACCCGCCAGCTGCGCTCCAAACAGGAGGGTCTCTCTTCAGAGTCTGAATCCAGTTGGTATCAAAACTGACTCTTCACCCCTTCTATAAGGCCTCTGCCTAGCTTTTGAGAAAAATCCTTCTTTTGAAACAGAAGATAAAAAAACAAATTCAATAGGTTTGACCAAATTTGAAAAGAAAAAAGTATAGGAAAACTATGGGTGTTTAAAGTCCTTATCTTTTTAGAGATACTGAAATCATCATGGATTAAATATCTTACTTGGGATTTGCTTCAAAATAACCAAGGAGTGGATATTTGCATTAGAGTATAGATGAGACAAGACTGAGCATGAGTTGATAATTGTTGGAACTGAGTGATGGGTAGGTGGGAATCCATGATACTACTCTCTCTACTTTTGTATATGTTTGAAATTCTCCAAAGGAAAATCTAAAAAAAAAAAAAAAAAAAAAGAACACCACCACTTAAAGAGGGGGGATAAAAAACAGACTGGAAAAATTATACACCATCAAACATGCCAAAGGATTATTTCTATACTACCTAAATTAGGGAACCGACATGAAAAATACTCAGTCTCCCTGGCTTGTTAAGAATACAAATTTAAAAGATGGAGGGTGCTACTTTGCTACTTATTAAAATAGCAAAAGACATTTTTAAAAAAAGATATAAAACCAAATGTTAGTGAGGTTAAACAACAGAATAACATACTTCTGGGGGCTGTATACATAATATGACTCTGGAAAAGTTATACGATAATAAATGTATTTAAATCCTTTAATAACTCTACTTCTAGAATTTACACTAAGAGAAGCAATCCAAAAATAAAAAGGCTATTGGCAGAAAGATGTGTTGTGGTCAAGTGGATTATATCAATTTCATGCAATAGTATGCAGCTATAAAAAGGAGAATCGTGAGTTTAATGTTAAATAAAGAAGCAGAACAATTATGTAATCAGAGTTAAGAACTGAGAAGGAATAGAGAAAAAATGAAAGCTTCCAGTAGCAGGATGGATGATTTTTCTTTTGTTAATCATTTCCCTTAGCATAGTTATAATTTAACTTGTGAAATAAACAAACACCAGGAGGGGAAAATGAGCCTCCTATTTAATCCAGGCCTAGGAGCCCAGGCACTGCAGTTATTCCCATGCCTCCCCGGGGAACCTGGGGCTCTGGCATGATGCCTCACGTGGATCACTCCATCTCCCCGACCTTGCTTGGGACAGAGGAACCAGAGCAAAGTGGTTAAGAGCAGGCTGATCTGCATCCTGACTCTGCCGTTTACCAGCTGTGTGATCTTGGGCAAGTTATGTAACCAGAGTCAACATTCTACAATCACCCAGAGCGGTGATAGAGCGTACCATGGCCTTTAGGGTCAGGAAGACCTGGCTTGAATTTCCACACTGCTGCTTCCCAGCAGTGACCTTGGCCAAGTTACGCAGCCTCTCTCTCCGCACCTCAGTTTTTTCATCTATAAAATCTGTACCCGCCTCATTGGACTATTGTGAAGATTTAACGACATGAGCTTTGGCAAGGGACTAGACTCAAGAAAGCGCTCGATAAAACATGGCTATGATTATCGTAAGACTTATAATTGGCAGGGTTCCTCCACTTTGACTCCCTCTCAGATATTAAGCTGCCAATGGAAGCATGGTGGCCAACTTTACTCCACGCCTACATCGCACAAGTCCCCGACCACAAGCATACCCGGGACATTCCAGGCTTTAGGTTCCACACATGGGGCACGCACAGAATATGGAGACATAAACCATCGCTCTTCAGTGAATATACTTTGAGTCACACAAATGAATGGATTAGGCATCAGCAAAAACCACAGTCTGTACAAGTGCTACTTTGAAACTGAAAGCTCTCAAATCTCCACCGAGACCCAAAAGTTACCTTATAGTGAGTAGGGTGGACCTTATCCAAAACAGCTAAACCCCACTGCACACAGAAAGCTGTTCTCCGCCCAGCCACACTGTGACTTGTCTAAGGCGTGCGCTGCACTGTTAAAACAAAGGGGAGGAGGGCTGCATGGGTTTAGGAAAGGGGGGGCAAAGAGATGAGGACAGCAGTTAGCAGTCCCAGTGCGACCTTACTTGAAGCACCTGACACTCACTGATTCCTTTAAGAGAAGGCGGGACATTTATCCCCACAAAACAGATGAGGAAACTGGGGTTTGGGGATCAGGGAACGTGGTCCATAACCAGCAAGTAGACCAGAAATCGAATTCTCCATGAACTGAAGCCAGGTCTGAATGACACTAAAGTCAGGGCACTCTTAGCCACTGTCCCCTCTGTGTGGAGACACACACATACATGCCCCAGGTCCCATGCAGAAGCCACCAAAGCCCGCGTGTCTCTGGGCAGATCTACCCCAGTTTCTACCAGTCCCAGCAAGCACCCCAAATCCAGGCGTAAGGTACCCTGAAGACCTGTGGAGGAAACCCCCCAAGTGTGTGACACAGACAGGCTGTGTTACAGGGCTCCCTCTGCAGAATCATTTCAACAAAACAAGAAACCAAATCCATCTGCAGCAACTTCAGAACACTCACAAACAAGAGACACGCAAAAACACTTCAAGGCCGAGACACCTGGGGTACTTGTAGCTGTACCTGGACAGGCGTTCACGTCCAGGTAAGCATCGACTCAGAGTTTGCTCTTCAGTGACCCAGAGGCCCCTGGGAGTGGGTGGGGCGGAGCCCTCCCACCTGGCCTGCACTCCAGACAGGATGCCCACCCCGGAGAGTCAGAGGAGAATGTAGAAACAGCTGGAGGGCAGTAAGGAGTCTTGGTCCAGGGACCCTGGACTCGTTAAAGACACTTCAAATCTAAGTGACCCTGGCTTTTTGGCAGACATGAAAGGGGAGCTTTCTGCTCCAAAGGAGATGTAAGTTATTCTTGGGAAAAAAAAGAAAGTTTATAAGAGATTCTTTGGAGGAAAGAAAGAAGAGAGGAAGAGGACACATACAGCTCCGGAGCAGGGGGATGGTGAGGCTGGGCAGGGGTCCTCGCCTCCTGCTCCAGCTGCAGGAGGAAGCCCAAGCCCGTTCTATTAAGTCCATGGAAATGGGCGGCCCCGGGTGGGCCGTTCCCGCTGGGGAGCTGAGCCAGCCGCCCTCAAGACCACCTTCCTTCCAGGAGGAGTAAGAAGAGCCCATGGGGCCAGGCATTAAAAACAAGATGCAGGGCTTCCCTGGTGGCACAGTGGTTGAGAGTCCGCCTGCCGATGCAGGGGACACGTGCCCCGGTCAGGGAAGATCCCACAGGCCGCGGAGCAGCTGGGCCCGTGAGCCATGGCCGCTGAGCCTGCGCGTCCGGAGCCTGTGCTCCGGAACGGGAGAGGCCACAGCAGTGAGAGGCCCGCGTACCGCAAAAAAATAATAATAATAAAAATGAAAAAAAAACAAGCTGCAGACAGACAAAGGCTCGAGTATGCTGTTGGCTCAGAGGACCAGGCTCCCCGACTAAAGAGAAGCTGGAGTCTTCTCCACCCCTTTGTTCACCTGGCTCAGGTTCCAAGAAGTAAATTATTTTAGTGCCTTAGGTCTGTCTTCAAGGCACCAGACCCAACCTCCCCGGTACGGGGTCGGGTGCAGGGTGAGGTGAGAGTCGACAGGAGATGCTTTGGCTCTGGACCCTCTGTGGAGCTTCAGAAGTGCCTTCCTACCTTGGAGGCGCCTAAATCAGATTCCACCTGCCTGTGGTCCCTTCACCTGGCTCAGAAATATCTCATCCTGGAAGTGGCACTTCTGTCCCGTGGACATAACTTTACTCTTATATTTACCATGCTGCATTTTTCCCATGCCCACCCGCTGTCTCAGAGATGAGCAAACATTTACTTCTCTTCGTGGGGACAGAGTAGTGACTTTCCGTGATGCTTGGTCCAGGGACTGGACATTGATGTGAGCAGAACAGGCAACGGAGACCTGGGGGGCCTGGGAGCTGCTGGGCCTCCCAACACCCACTCCCTTCCCTGACCACGAGCTGGCCAGATAGCCCACTGGTCTCCCTCTAAGATTCCTCTGGGCTGAGGAATGGAACACGGAAGGTAAGATCTAATGCTCCAGAGACAAACATGGCTAAGGCACAGCGGTTTCCAAGGCCAACTGGTAAGTCACAGGAAATGGGCAAAGGATGTGTTTGGGACCCTATCTTCTCTGTGCAGCACCCTATGCCTACTCTGTGCCCCCTCAAAGCACGGGCTAGGTGGGAGCACAGTGAATTGGAAGACTCGAACTCTTCAGCTGCGATGCTAGTCAGCGGCAGGCCAAGGCGTGGCGTGTGTGCAAGGGCAGTCTGAATTGGGCTTTTGCAAAGCACTTGAGTTAAAACTGAGAAAAGACTGATGGTCCAGGACTTCCCTGGTGGCACAGCGGTTAAGAATCCGCCTGCCAATGCAGGGGACATGGGTTCGAGCCCTGGTCCGGGAAGATTCCACATGCCGCGGAGCAACTAAGCCCGTGCGCCACAACTACTGAGCCTGTGCTCTAGAGCCCGCGAGCCACAACTACTGAGCCCACGTGCCATACCTACTTAAGCCCGCGTGCCTAGAGCCTGTGCTCCACAACAAGAGAAGCCACTGCAATGAGAAGACTGCGCACCGCAAGGAACAGTAGCCCCCGCTTGCTGCAACTACAGAAAGCCTGCGTGCAGCAACAAAGACCCAACGCAGCCAAAAAAAAAACAAAAAACAAGACTGATGGTCCACACTAAAGAATGACCACGGGGGTCAGATGGGTGGATAAGGAGGTGCAGGTGAGGGGGCAGGGGAAAAGGAGAGGCTACAGTGACATGAGTGATGGCTCCCAAGGTCCTTGGCGGCACTACTGACTGGCCTTAGTGAATCACCTTAAGCCTTCTCCTCAACTGTCTCCTCCCCACTTGAAATCCAAAGGATGTAAAAAGAGGCATCAAGTTCTCTTATATTCCTCTTGGGGACGGACAGCAGGGGGTCTCTGAGGTGCCTGTGCTCTCATACCCAACTAACAACCACAAGGCGCCTGCCATCCCCCTGGGGGCTCTCTCCCCACAGCTCATTGCTGCAGAAGACTGTCAAATAGACTGGTCTTCCTCCAGTCCCCATCCCCTCCCCATTCTAAGGCTGTGACCCGTCAGCCTAATAGGAATGTCTCCCCAGTGGACACTCCCCACGAAAGGTT